AGACCGAATGGTGACTCAGCGAGGTGAATGAGATTGAGTGATGAATGAGGCAAGCAGCAGAGTTTTCAATCATTAGTCGTTTATGGAGGGCAAAGACAGAGAAGGATTTCAGCAGTGGTGGGAACACCAGAGGGCCATAGATGTCAATGTTTCAAAACCTTGGTGATATTTAGGAGCTGGAATTACAAAGCCAGCTGTGTTTCCAAGTGATAGGAGGGATTATGTGCAGCTTTGTTCCTCATGAGCAAGGTGAAGTAGGAAAGATTGGAAGATAGAGTGAGAGAGATGATAAAGGGTTAAGTGATCAGAGAGGAAGTGCTGGTCGGTAATGAGGGAGATCAGTGGAGATGGAAAAATCCAGGATATCTCAGATGCAGTGATGGAGGTAAAGGCACAGGGTGTAGAGGCAAGGTGTTAGAGGAGTTAACTATCCTGCTTAAATTTTGAGCTTTGTTTCAGTTGTGAATTGGTTTGTTTACCATGAGTAACCTTATCAGCTGCTGCAGAGAAATGCAAACAAACTATTCATCCCAACAAGGATGTGATGATGCTTCCCCTCTCCTGGATAATCCCACCTACATCTGTCGACTCTGTTCTCCCATATTTCGCCGGATTTCCTTCATCCCATTTCCCAGGAATTTGGTACAACATCAGTCTCATTGTGGAGCGTTACTAACTATAGGTTCGATATATGTTGCATATACATTTTTTCAAGCTTACTACAAAACAACAAACTTTATGAGTAACTAGATTAACATTGTGAATATCACAGAAAAATGACCAGGAATTGAAAGGAATCAACATGAACCTTCAATGGGTGAAGGTACAAACTGTTCCAATGAATGAGAACAAAAAAAAATACTGCAGGTGCATGAAACATGAAAGAAAATCAGGAACTGCTGGAAATGCTAAGCAGGGGAAAATGCAAGAAAATGGGCCTGAATGTTAGATCAGCCATAATCCTATTTAATGACAGAGCAGGCTCGAGGCGCTGAATAGCCTACTCCTGTTCCTATTCCTTGTGATCTTCTGGTCTAGATCTGGCAGGGACTGTCTGTTTCTGAGACAGAAACAGAGTTAACATTACTGCTTAAGACTTTTCATCCGATTAAATACTTCACCAATATCTTTCAAGGATCCGGCAAGTTCATAGTTCCTTGAAAGTGGAATCGCAGGTAGGCAGGAAAGTGAAGAAGGCATTTGGTACACTTGCCTTTATCAGTGCATTGAGTATAAAAGTTTGGAGGTCATGATGCGGCTGTACAGGACATTGGTTAGACCACTTTTGGAATACTGCATTCAATTCTGGACTCCCAGTTATAGGAAGGATGTTGTGGAACATGAAAGGATTCAGAAAAGATTTATGTACAAGGATGTTGCCAGGGTTGGAGGGTGTGAGCTATAGGGAGGGGCTGAATTGGCTAGGGCTATTTTCCCTGGAGTGAGAGAGGCGGAGGGGTGACCTTATGAATGTTTATAAAATCATGAGGAGGGTGGATAGGATGAATAGTCAAGGTCTTTACCCCAGCGTAGGGGAGTCCAAAAGTAGAGGGCATAGGTTTAAGTAAGACGGGGAAGATTTGAAAGGGACCTAAGGAGCAACTTTTTCACATAGAGGGTGGTGAGTGTGTAGAACGAGCTGCCAGAGGAAGTGGGTGGAGGCTGGTACAATTACAGCATTTAAAAGGCATCTGGATGTGTACATGAATAGGAAGGATTTGGAGGGATACAGGCCAAATGCTGGCAAATGGGACTAGATTTATTTAGGATATCTGGTTGGCATAGACAAGTTAGACCAAAGGGTCTGTTTCTGTGCTGTACAGCTCTATGACTCCTTGACTCCATATAATTTTAAACAGACATTGTTAGTGATATTTTCTAAATTCTGAGGTTTCAGTTAAGCAGCAGCATCATGTAATTACATTTGGAATAGTCTAACAGTTACTTTATGTACATTATCTTTGGAATGTTAATAAATTGAGTCATCTCTATTAAATCAGCAATCACTTGTTAAAAGAGACAGTATCTTAAATAAATATTGCAATTATCTCTGAGGTATGTGCTTTGTCACATTGAAATAATAGTTAATGTACCTTGTCTAAAACCATTCATATTGCTGATACAGCAAGTGATATTAATTAGTTCGATATGACATATTTAATTTAATACTCTTGATATTTTGGAAAAGGATAATAAAATGGTATGATTGTAGAATATTCTCTTTCACAACCCAAGCTCAAATCCAGATCATTGAAAAGAATTTCACTGCTCTCTCAGTGCTTTCTCATCAGGCAAATATGGGGAGTCAGATTGCAATCTAACTGTGCTCCAATGCCAGCTATCAGAGCAGTAATGTAATAACAGATAACATTAACATCCTGTGTCATTGGGTGCTGTCAAAGCTTGACCACAGTGTGTGATGTGGAGATGCCTGTGTTGGACTGGGGTGGAAAAGGTCAGAAATCACACAACACCAGGTTGTAGTCCAACAGGTTTATTTGAAAACACAAGCTTTCGGAGCCTCAGTCCTTCTTCAGGTGTTAGTGAGAGAGGTAGTATCAGACACAGAATTTATAAGTAAAAGATCAAAGGGTCATACCATTGATGAGGATGTACTAAACAAACATTTTAATCAATTAAAACCTCCTAACTGATTAAAGATCTAACAGCATCTTAGGTTTGTTTAGTACATCCTCAATGGTGTGAACCTTTGATCTTTTACTTATAAATTCTGTGTCTGAAACCCATCTGGTTCACTAATATCCTTTAGGGAAGGAAACTGCCATCCTTACCTGGTCTGGCCTACATGTGAGTCCAGACCCACAGCAATGTGATTGACTCTTAACTGCACTCTGGGCCATTAGGGATGGGCAATAAATGCTGCCTAGCCAGTGACACCCTCATCCCCCATGAATGAATAAAGAAAAAAAAAATCTCAATCTCAGCTAGAGTCAGAAAGTGGAGGTTGGGATCTTTCCCCATTGCTTAAAAACTGATGGGTGTTGGGCTCTGCTCAGGCAGCGCCCTATTAATCAGAAGGAGATCATCATAACAATTGTGCAACACATGATATGAAAGATAGAAACACAGAAAAATAAGAGCAGGAGTAGGCCATTCAGCCCTTCGAGCCCACCCCACCATCCAATATGATCACAGCTGACGATCCATCTCATGCCCCTGTTCCCACTTTCTCCCCATATCCTTTGATCCCTTTAGCCCTAAGAACTATAACTCTTTCTTGAAAATATTCATTGTTTTGGCCTCAACCACTTTCAGTGGCAGAGAATTCCACAGGCTCCGCACTCTCTGGGTGGAAAAACTTCTCATCTCCATCCTAAACAGCCTACTCCCCATATCTCAAACATGGCTGAACAAAATGAAGCAAAAGAACAGTAAGAAATGAGAAAATAAAAACCTAAAGGCAAGAAACAGGGAGAAAAGGGAGCAAATGGACAGAATTTGATATAGAAACTGTTGTGTAAGAGCTTCTGGACCCTGGAGCAACCTTGCAATGATGTCACAGAGTTGTAATGGTAGGGTTTGAACAAACTACAATAGATTTGAGCTTAGGAGAAACCTGAGAGCATATGGACATGCATATATGAAAAACACCACTGAGTCTTTACCCAATGTGACTGTCATCACAGCTTGTATATCTATGATTGCCACATATTGCAGTACTTAGTGTATAACAAATAGCATTACTTTGAAGTCTAAGCCCAAAGACTATTCTTGACTGTGTTTTCACCTCAATCAGTCTGTCCTTAAACTGCATTTCACTGTGCATCAGCAAGCTACATGATAAAAAAGAAACGAGTGTTAAGGAAGGTAATCTGTCTAGGATTGAATAGGAGTCTCCAGAAATTGAAAATTAATCTGCAGGCCATTGCTGCTCACCACCTTGCAGAAGAAGTACAGGGCATTAAAAATAATCATGTTGTTTCTCATTTTTTGCATATTTGTGGTTATCAGCTATAAAATGTAGATATCATTATGCTGTAGTTCAGGGAAAATTGGCCTG